GTGAAGCACAGAAGAAAAGTCTTACACTCTTATGACAATGGGGATTTGATATGATGCTGATGCTGCTAGATGATTTTGAGACTGAGAAAGAAAATGGCACAACACAAAATGAAAAATTGCTCTTCACACATTAAGTAAAAAAAAACATTAATAGTTATAAGTAATTTTGTATTATTATTAAAAAAAGGTACATAATTATTCATTAATCAACAATTGTATATAATTATTCGCACTAGGTAAATCAGCCTTATAATATTAAAATCTTGGTCATGGAATAAATAAACATAATTGTTCACCAATCAATCAAAAATTCAATTAATCAATCAAAAATCAAAATTCATCATTATCGACGCTTTCCAAAAATCCGAATGAGTTCTAAGGAATCGTTCATGTTGCATTGCTCTACTTTTCTCGGTAATCACTTATGACGTCATCAGGGTGTCGTCTATCCTTGTTCACGGTGCCCAGTGAACTAATTTTCGATGACGCGCTAAAGATGCGCTAGAGTTGTGATATTAGATTTATTATGTGAAGATGATCTGATAACATTTTTTTATTCATGTAGCTAATTATAGTTTTATGTTTCTAACCTTTAACTTTATTCAAATATCAATAATAATAGAAAAAAAACACCATTGAGCTGAATTTTGGATAGTTTTCAAGAAATCTATGCCTCCCGCGTTTGACACCAGCGGTCAACCATAGACGACTTTGGCGTGCTAGACATAGTATTTGCTTAGATAAAACTCCATTTTTATTAGTTCAATGTTTCTTAGTACTCGTGGCTCTAGAAGACTTGTTTTTTATACTCACATGTTGCTGGGTTATTCCTATTTTGAGGAGTGTAGAATTAAAATACCTGTAATAATTTTCCAATATCTATATTTTATATTTTTGAGAGCCGGGTTTTTTTGTCAACTATAGACGTCGTTGACGCACAGGGCCCGTAGGTGTTGGTCAAGTATAGGTGACTTTGGCGCTCAAAAGGTTAAAGGATTCATGGTAAATCAGCTGGAAACTAACTTTTTTCGTTATCATAACATGATTCTATTTTAAATGTATTGTTAACAATAACATAACATAAACAGATAAGAATAACCTAACCGATCTTCTTTGAAAACAGATAAGAATAACAGTTCTTATCTGTTTTGAAAGAAGATCGGTTAAGATTAACAGTTAAATTGTGCCGTAGCGTTTTGTTACTCTATAAAGAATTCATTGGAAATCAGCTAGTAATTCGCTTGTTTAATTATCATGACATAATAGTTATTTAAAAATTATATTAGCACTGTAATAATGACACCGTAAATAATCGATCGAAAAAAGAGAATCGATTTTTTAAATGTGTTTTGTGAATGGCAACACTTTTTTTTATTCACAAACTAATGACATATTGATTTACCTAATTTTTATTATTATCTTTTCGGTACCTTTAATTTGTGCAAAAATATTCCCATTGTTTGAGGATATATGAATACCGCGATTAATAACCATAAATAAAGATATAATTTTTTAACAAATGCACATTGTTGGGCGTTCCATGGCCGAAAATGGGCGATGCCCCTTTAATAAATTTCTTAATACCAAAGTGGCAAAATTTTGACAAGTAACTAACTTTTTGTCAAAAAAAACGATACACGCATCATCCTCGCGTGTAATGGCGAATAGAATAGACAATAATAGAGTAAAATTATTTCAATATCACTTTATGTTAAAAATAATATTAATGAATGTTATTTATATTTTCACTATATGTTTGGAAAGAGCTGCCCTAGGAAGAGTCTAAAAGGAACCCAGTGGTATTTATTACAAGAATCTATATTACTTACCTATAAAAAAGGATAGTCTGAGTGACTGAGAGTGACTCATCTATCGACGCACAGCCCAAACCTTAAGGTGTAAAAATCTGAAATTAAGACAGTAGCCGCCTTTTTCAACCCCCTGAGGAGGTGAAATAGGGTATTGTAATTTATATGAAGCTTATTATTTTACGGGGTGATCGAGTCAAAACTTACTAAAGGTACTATGTAAATAAAATAAATTATTTCGGATTGGGCAAATTTTCAAAACAACCCGTTAGTGAGAGAATATACGAATTTGTACGGAGAAAAAATAATTGATGTTTTTTTTATTGGTAAATTGGCGCCTACACTCTGTAATTAAAGATAATAAAATTCACACTTTTAGTTTCTTTATAAACGTGGGTGCAAAGTTAGTAAGAAAAAATATATTACTAAGATGGACACTGCATAACTCAAACAACTCGACGTAGAATTGCGAAATAAGACAATAGTTTTATTCTATTGCGTAGCCATCTACTAAGATAGATAAGTGAAATATGGTGTTACAGATTGTAAAAAGTCTTTTTTATTTTTCGCGTTGGTCGATTATAAACATACTGTAAAGTAAATAAATACTTTGAATAAAAAAGGCCTTTAAATAGCTAAGACGGAGGTGTAACTAAAATATACATTTGGGCTAATAAAAAACACAATTTTAATCTATTGCCATTACTTTTTTTAACTTTTTTTAATTTATAATTACTTTAAGAATTAAAAGTAGAAAGTAGAATAGATTAAATAAACATTAGAGTTCCAATTAATAAGCTTTGAGTAGATTTTTGAATAAAAAATGGGTTAAGTACATCGAATATGTAGAGGTAAGCGATTACGTCCAGCTGTAACAGATAATGATTTATTGAAGAAGGAGGATGCATGTATTGGAGTACAAAAGCATACAGTGATTTCACTGGACGTTACAACTTGGACGCAGGTAGAACTGCTGGGCGAAAAGCCAGTAATTATAATTAAAACTTGTACAATCTATAGGTCCTTTAACGCTGTTTCCAGGCCAAATGTGTACATTGAACAATTAAAAAAAATAGTTCTATACTATTTTATAGATTTATAAATCACTATACGCTGACTGTAATGTAATAATGTAAAAATTACATAATCCATCTTATGGTCTTGGTTAATATCGAGATTATATTTTATCCAACCACGTGGATAATGAAAGAAGACAAATAAATTTAATTATTTCAATACGAAATTAAAAACAATCAATATTTTATTTAGATGCTGCCGTATCTCTAGAGCAATGTATCGTTGACGTTGAAATTTAACGCATGACTAGAGCGTAATTATTTTTGAAACCGCCGATCGCACCTACCCGCCCACTCGAACACGGTCGAGTTGAAGCCTCACACCTCCAACCACGTATCTGACCACATGAGTTTGACCGACGTAAATAAGATTTAATCCTTAAATGCATGATTTTTCCTTTTTTAAGCAAATAAAATTTATTTAGATGTAAGGTTAGCTCTATAGTAAGGTAAAATAATTAAAAAAATATTCATAAAATTATTTAATTTTTAAGCTATTGCATAGCTTCTATCGCGGGCCTTGAGCGCGGCGAACGAATCCAGAAATTCCGTAACGAAAAAACTCACGCTCCCCCACTCCGACGGGCACGGAGGTGTGGCGTTAAAAGCCGTGCATCGTCTAACGTCGTTTTGGTTCGGCAGACTTCGGCACGGTGTTTGTGTGCGTGTACACTAGCTGCTAACTCAATGATAAAAATTCCTGAATAACCTACATGTATTGTAAGATATTAAAAATATTTTAAACAATATTAACTTCTCATTTATTCAATAAGAGAAAAAAATTGTTTTCTTATCGGTCACCACGCTCAAAAAGTGTAACTTGATTTAATATCGAAGACTTAACTGCATAAATAAAATAAATAAATAATTATAATTGCATAAGTTGATAAAAAATGCTATGCAATAGCTTTACCGCGGCAGTCACCGAGTGCCACACGTATTTTTTTTAAATAATGGGTTGGTGGAAATTTACATCATTATGTCATCAGAACTAATTTATTGGGAACAAATGTTTATTGAGACAATAAATTAACTTATTATGGTATTTATTGGAACAAAGTTTTTGTTGGAGCACAGGCTTACATTACATTTGGGACAATGTATAGTTGAATATCCCTTACAGTTATTGTATTTGCATCACAAAGATCCCCCTACCGCAGGCCAATGATTTAGCTCATCTCTTCGAACTTCTTTTGGTGGGGCCACTGATACAGCACTTCTTTTCTTATGGCCTGTTTATCTTTTTCTAGAAGACTAGAACTCTCTTATTTTCTCTAGATACGCCCATGTTGCAGAGGACGAAGAACAGTTCATTTCTAAATGTACCTAAATTGCGGATATCTTTCTTAGGTACTTTTTAACAATTAATTTTTTTAATGTATTATTCAGGCATTTAGCACTGCCAGGTCTAAAATATGAATATACCATATTCTTGACTTGAGCCTTATTCTGTACCTACCCAGTAAACTATCCATTAGATATACACCTCCTACATGGGCATTGTATTCACTTATAATCTTAGGGCATGGAATCTTTTTTCTTGCCATAACTGGATACATTATTCAAAGGCAAAGCACCAACATATGATGACAGTAATGTAACTTTGTTGTCTTTCCATGCTACTTCACTCATATCCACACTTTGAAATGTTGTTACTCTTTCTTCATGTGCACCTCTTGGGATAGATTTATTCATAATTTTTTAATCAGGCAATTTTGAATTAGGCTTTCTATTTTGTTGAACTGTTCCTACTTAAGGATACCTATAAAAAAAGTTGCTAAATAGTACACCAATGGCAGAGATGTATAAAAACTATCAAAATAGACAATGTGACTGACTTGCCTTGGTATATCTCAGGCTAAACGAAGGACATTATTGCTGGTTGAGCCTAAATGTGGTTCATTTTCAGGTTTGTTGGTAAGATCCTGCCCAGCATATACATCTAAGTTGTATGCATATCCTTGCAGACTACACCAATCATACAGTATAAGCCCCCACATATGAGGCTTGTTGGGCAAGTACACTATTAGATATATTCTAAGTTTCTTTTTTTCCAGATCTGTTTTAGTTTATCTAACAATCCTGAAAATATATGTACTCTAGGGTACACTATTGTCTACATCCTAGTTGTTTTTGCCTCATTTTCAATCAAGGGAAGGTCACTTTCGTGGTTTTGTGAGTTTTCTGTGTCCTCCTCATTGCTTTCTAACATATTCAGTAAATCATCTCCGTCGTAACTTTCAGGCACATTTTCCTCCTCTTCATCAGACTTCTCCATGTCATCTTCCGACAACAACCCACCTTTCAAAGATGTTAAATAATGTTCTATATCTCTGTCGTAAAATTGTAAGATATCAACACCTGAAATCAAAACGAACAAAACGATATCAACCATAGCACTTCACTAACTTTCATACAAGCTAAACGAACGTCATTACATGATGATGTAAATTTACATCAACACAATTTTGGGTTTGTTTCTACATATTTTTCTATTTATAACAGAAATAAAGACATAAATCAAAATACTAACCTCAAATCCATCAATTATGAATAACTTGAAAAGAAACCGTCAGTATTTTATACAACTTTTTTACAATCACAATAAACGAAATCTTCACCAAACAAAATATCGAGTATTGAGATTTTGAAATAACATTTGACAGCTGAAATTGAAGTATAAACTTCTTTTGTTCATTCGAAAACATCACTACTGTTGCGTAAAAGTTACGATGTACAAAAAATACGATAGCCGTACTCTGTGATATGAAAAAAATGATATTAAATTGGTTGACTGAAAATTCCATCACAATGCATTTAAGGGTTAAAAAATCAACGCAAGTGTTTAGGTTCATATCATACATGTATTAAATACTAAATTTGGCATTTTACTGAAATAACTGGGCGCTGTAGTTTCAGAAGCAAATACTTACTCAAATTTTCTTTAATCGATATTCATTTAACACCCTGGTTAGCTTTCCAATAATCATTAGCAGGGTGAAATCACCATACGAGTACATACCAAACATTGAAGGCGGATTAGCCATAACGTTTAAAGATTTGAATTAGGTTTGGCAAGTTCAAGGATCAAAAATCATAATATTTGTCTTTCTAATAATGTTGTACAAAAATTAATAAGTATATCGTTAGAGTCTAATAAAAGGTTACTACTGTATATAAGCCTCCCCCTATTGCTTTATATGGGGGATGGCACGCGTGTTGACAGCCGCAGATTATTTTTTGGTTGTTATTCTTATTATTATGTCTTTTCAGGATTTATAGGATTTTCTCCTGTATCGTGGAGGCAGTTTACAAACATAAATTGCATAATAGGACAAACATCCAGACCCGGAACAATCATTTGTAGTCCATACAAATACTTGTTCCGTGCGGGATTAGAGCTCGCGGTTCCCAGCGCAAACACTCATTGCTAAGCCACTGCACCACGGAGCCGTCAATATTATTAGGAAGACGCTGCTGTCCATTTACTGTACCCTCTTCTACGGGACCGACGAGTAGAGGATCAGATTAAGTATACCTTGCTTTTAATGATAAAATAGTGTGCGCGTAAATAAACCTGCAGTTGCGCACACATTCGTGATCCAATCAACCTGTTTTGCGCAGATGGCTAGGTTTCGTTTAGACTGGCAGCCACGACTGAAATTGGTTCCAGAAAACTTTATTATTATATTGGATTAAGAAAACTAAACAAATTGCAAACCCCAGATTGTAAGTTATTTGCTATTGTTTGCACGCAAATGAACAATTTTATGTTAGTGTGTGTTTTGAGGTCATTGAAATTACTACATGTAAATATTTTGACTATATAAATTTGTTAACATTTCAAAGTTTAGTCATTTTTCAAAATCCGTCAAAGCCAAGGTCATAGTGTGACCACAGATGAAAAACAATGTAGGTACATAGTCACTTTACACTTAGGTTAGTATATTTGATAATCCTCCACATTACGTGGAGAAGCTCGAAATCAAACCTACTTTTTCGGCTACCGAACGTTCTAACTTTAAATATAATTTTAAATGTGGTAGAGCCACGCTGCAACTATATTATGGCTCTATCGTAGTAGAACCACGCTCTTATATATATATATATATATATATATATATATATATATATATATATATATATATACATATATATATATATATATATATATATATATATATATATATATATATATATATATCAAGTATAAGGCTCGTTTGTCACCCTGACCTATTACAAAATACCGAAATCCTCTTGCAAACCATACTTTTATCACACAATTCCTCATCCTATTTCAAATTTGGAACATATTTATAATAACAGCATTTTACCGCGTATTATAACTAAAGTGATATAATAGGTTTGACCTTTTTTCCAAACAAATATTTTATAAATTACTTTTTATTAGCGTTATCTAAAATTTTCTAAATTTAAAATTCTTCTATCCTCATAAAACATATTGACCTGTACACAGAAATTAAGACAATAATATTACGATTTTTGTGGACCTGTACATTTTTTAAATTGTATGTTTATTTCTTTAGCATAAGTAAGACTTAATTTTATTATAGAACTATAACTTAGGTTAATTATTTTAAATAAAGCCAATAATAGGTAGGTTTGGTTATAGCAATTGAAAACCAAAACAATTTTTTTTGCACTAGTTATTTGCTTTTCTTTAGAGTGACAATTTAACACCACACTTACAATACGTGTTCATTCATTTACTCTTATAAATTAACGGGCCCACGGGGTTCAGCACTGCGAGATGTTATAATAGCCGGCTGTACGACATTGCTCGCTCTGCGCCATCACAAATCACAATAGATGAAAAAAAACTTAATGAATGGATTCGTCGCTCATAGCAGCCTTTGAAGCGTATCGCTCGCGGGCTTCCTTCCATTCCAAATGCTATTAAAGTAGATTGTATGTAATTTAATAAATTAAATGACAATTATACGTTTTAAAGGCATCATTTCTTCATTTCCATTTAATTCAGCGAATAACGCAATGTGACTGACGTTTCAATTCTTGTACATTACTTGCCTATTAAAGTTTGAAATTGATATTAAAGGCATTAAATTATTTCAGATTATATTTTTTGCGTTAAACCTTTTTGACGTCTCACATTTTATTCATATTATATTATAAACCAATTTGTCTCTTGTATTTTAGAGCTGAATTTACGATCAACAGTATAACTTATTCATAAGATAAAATACAACATTAACAAATTAAAAATTACAGTTGTATAAATAAAATTGTTTAATTATTTTACTTTTATATTCTATCAGGTTATAATTAAGAGCTTTATCACACCGGCGACTTGCAAGCGAGTTCAAATTTAGATATTTTTACTCTCCCCTTGCTTTGAAGTCGCTTTGTAAATCGCTAGTATGATAACGCCCTTAGTTTTTTATGTACAAATTTTATCTGAACATTTAAAAATCAGCCCCTTCTCGACTTTGCCAGAAGGAAATATATTGATCATATATATACATCATATATATATATATCATATATAAACTCGAAGTTTATTTATGTAACTATAATATCCTAATTTTAATGAAATCGAGGTGAGAGAGACATTGGGTGCGTTTGGCAGAAAAAAGCGCTAGCTAGCGCTTACAAGCACTGAAATAGGTTTCGGCCAGGACACGATTGCTACTTTATTAGCGCTGCGCTGACACAATCCGCCATTTTACTTATTTAATTTGTTTGTTTTGAAGTAGAGTTTATAAGTTGTTTTGAGCAATATTAGTTTTAAGTAATATAATGACATGTATAAACATATTATACATGTTATTAAAAATTCATAATTGGTAAGTTTTTAGCATGAATACTTGTTGTTTTGAGCAATATTAGTTTTAAGTAATATAATGACATGTATAAACATATTATACATGTAATTAAAAATTCATAATTGGTAAGTTTTTAGCATGAATACTTTACAAACATAAATTTAAATTAGATTAGGTTCCCCGGTTAAAACTAACCTCGTGTCCTAGAGGAAAATAGCTACTTACGATTTGACAGCGCTTACCGCTTACGATCGCCATTTTGCTTATAAGCGCTTGCTAGCGCTTTTTCTGCCAAACGCACCCATTATTAGTATTCGTCTTTATCTCTTTCACAAAATATTATTAATAACATTGTTCGCAAGGAAAAAAACAATATGATGCTTGCCTTAAATGCATTGCATGAATATGTCGTTCGCATGTGAGTTAAAATTACAAGTCAGTTTATTTGATTTTTAAATAATTTATGTCCTTGTTACAGATTAGCTTAGAAATAATATGTCATTTAATGAATTATAAAATTGAAGCCTATATGCATACAATAGTTAATAAGCTACTATATAAGTTTATTTTTAAGTAAACTGCAATGAACTTACAATCCTTACGTGGTAATTAAAATATTAGTAGCATAGATGTAGCATGAATGGGTCGGCTTGGCCGAGGAAGGAACACGTTCTCACACAATATCAGCATAAAATAGCAGTATAACGCTGCTGTGTTTCCTATTGTGAGTGTAGAGAACCGGAGATTTTTATTACTGAAAAGGAGGCATTACACGGGTGATAACGCATTTGTATTTTGATACGTAATCGAGGATAGATGTAGATGTAGAACCTACACATACTCCTACTCCTAGAAAACTAGGTCTCATAGGAAGAAAAGAATTCCTAACAACTGACCGACTTAGTAATTCCGATTCTGAAACTGCTAAATTCAACGAGCCACCTGCATCCATCAACTTCCCGCATATCTTACCAGGTTGTCACTCCATCTAGTAGAAGATGCCCTACACTTCGCCTGCCGGTACGAGGATGCCACTCGAGAAACTTTCTTACTCGAGAACCTTTTTTTCCCTATCGGTTGTCAGTTCTTCGAGCTATAGGGTCGGCCCATTGCCACTTCAGCTTACTAATCCGTTGGGATATGTTGGTCACTTTGGTTCTACTAAGGATATACTCATTTTTAAGTTTATCAGCAAAAAAAAAACCGGAGCATAACTCTCTCCACGGCTCGCTGAACGACTTTGAGCTTCCTCATACGGTCAACAGTGAAGGACCACGTCTCAGATCCACGCTTATTTACTTGCTTATATACTTTCTTATATACTTGCTTATTTACTTGCTTATATACTTGCCTATGTACTTGCTTATATACTTGCTTATTTACTTGCTTATATATTTGCTTGTATACTTACCTATATACTTGCTTATATACTTGCTTATTTACTTACTTATATACTTGCTTATATACTTGCTTATATACTTGCTCATATACTGGCTTAAATACTGGCTTATATACTTGTTTAATTACTTGCTTATTTACTTCCATATATACTTGCTTATATACGTGCTGATGTACTTGCTTATATACTTGC